GTCACCTGAGGTCAAGTAGCACAGCACCTAATTCCAAAGAAACACTTGAGTTCTGTTCCTGTGGGAACTATCATGGAATGTAATAGAGTCATCAACGGTTTTGTGGATTTGGCATGTAGTTCCCTTCATCAGAGAGTGTGAACTGCAAGAGCTTTGTGGTCTGGCTGCTCCCCTCAAGTCTGATTAACACAGAGAAATAACACAAGTATAACTTGAGAGAACCTCTATTGTGAAGTGATTCCTCTTGGGATGTTTTTTATACAGCTTTTTTTATTCATATAATTATTTTATATGTATAATTTTCCTATCATGCAATTTGAAGGGCAATTTTCTTAGGAAAACTTGTAGGCTGAAATACTGCAAATATTTCTTCTAGACTAATACTTGTTCACCTGGCACGTAAGATAATACACTCCTAATACAACTCCAACTAAGATCTGCACATTTCTCTGTGTTAATTTTTTCACAGATTCATAAACATACTTCTACACATTTTATGCATTAAATACCTTTCCCTTTGTTTTACTTTTGCTGACTTAGGAACTGATCTGGTTTTGTTTGAAACACTGTCTCTTTAAAAAGGAATAGCTCATTCTTAGTGGCAATAGTTGATAATTGTGCAGAAATATTGTGCATGCTTCTGAAAGGTGTAATAATAATGTCTCTCCAGATGTGCCTAGAAGTTAAGTAGCAGTTTTGAAATGCCAGTTTATAATAAGAAGAGTCCATAATTTAGGAAGCATTGCAATTTAGTATGCAAAAAAGAGAGACAGATTATAGCCCTATATGAGCCATGAACCAGATGTTACCTAGATTTTCATAGGGTACACATTCCCACCTAGTAACATATTCAGTACATTACATGTTCTATTACAGGAGTAACTCCTCCACAGTTATTTCAGTCCTGAATATTGGTATGTGTGGTTACAGCACTGGTGCAGAACACATACCAAATTCAGTTATGTGTACGAACGTGATAATTTCCAGAAATGCACCTTCCTACTTTATTTGAAAGAAAGATTGATGTGAGTCCCTCATCATACAAGCTCCCCTCTGTCCTGCCCTTCTCAGTAGTTAGGCACACTTCGCTGCTGGCCCCTATCACTCGAACCAAGGCCCACCTTTGCTAAAACACCATGGAGTAATGGTGAGGGCTGCTGGGATGACTGGGATGTGACTTTACAGAGGCAAAAGGCTGTCTCCCTTGCAACTACCTCCTCTGGCTGCCACACTGGCAGTGGTGGAGGGAGCCAAAGTTGTACATCTTTATTAGCTCTTTATATCCACCCTGTCACCTAGATGAAGAAAACAACAGTTCCTTCATTTTCCTGTGCAGAAATTCATAGGGTTGATGATTGACGGTGTAGTAGTTCAGCTCTGCATCAAAAAAAAAAAAAAAATTCAAAGACAGCAGGAATATTATAACAAAAAAATATACTTTGGAAGAGATACATTTAAAATTGCAATTATTGTCTTCTGCATGTGCCTGTATATTCGGGCTGAGTCAGCTGGGACCATCCTACAGGGGTGTGCGTTTGCTAGAACTACTGTTTTTTGTATACCCACACAATCACATAAACTACTCTAGTACTTTATTCCCTCCCATTTTTATTATTATATTTTATTATTTTTATTTTTGTTTTTATTTTTATTTTTATATTTTATTCCCTCCCATTTCTTCACTCCTGCCCCTGTAGCAATGCTTCCTCTCCTGGTGTTCAGCAACTGAACTAACTCAAATTCCAAAGGAATTCCATGAGAATATGGGCAGACTTTTAGGAGTAGAGAAAGCACAAACTTGTTGAGTGTCATGCAGCTGCACAAAACTTTTGGGTAATCTTGCTTCAAATGAGGATGGATGTTTCAGTTTTCCTGCTTTATTTCCAAAATGGCAGTCACACATCTGTTTTCACTTTACAGTTTGTATTCACATTCTTTGTCACTGCACTTAAAACACTAAATTGCAATTTTAGTTGCTCCTTAGTGAGAATAATTGCCAGTATCTTGCCAAACAGCCTGTGTCCACTATAAATGAAAACTGCATGAATTAGAGACATCTTTTGCTTGTAAGAGAATCTGAGAATAATTTCTGCTATAAATAAACACCTTGATATGCTAGTAGCAAATACATTATTTTAAAATGTCTCCTGTCTAATTAAGGAGCACATTTTTGTGTAATTAAGAAAATGAGAGTTAAATTTTGCGTGAGTGCTGGTGGTATTGCCACCCTACTGTAATATACTGACACTTGCATTACTTTTATATACAACTAATGTAATTTGTATAGTATTGTAATACTATATATATATATATGCAATATTATATATAATATAGTAATGCAATTTTTATAGTATTGCATATGTATGAATAGTTTCTGGTTTTATATTAAGCTAGAAATATATTTTAAACTTCAGAAATGCCAGCAAAACACAGAAAGATAGTTAAAAAAATCCACTCTATTTGCAATGATTCCATTTTGCTGTGTTCAAAGGAAATTGTTGGGAAGGAGATTTTTTTAAAAAAAGTAAGCAAGTTATTCTGTCCCTATTCTCACATAATTAGTTAATACCTCAATCTTTGTGTGCTTGTTTTTGTCTGTTTGCTTATAAATTTCTCCCAGTACAGAAAATTCTGTCAAATTTAGCATAGCAAAAGTATCACGTCAAAGAGAAAAATAAATAGGAAACACTCACTTTTCAGATTTAAACAGTAGCAAATATGAGACACCTTGGGATCCAAGTCCAAGTACATACATGTACACACATGTACACCTGATATCATTTACTCTCACTCTTTGAGCTGGAGTGAGCTGAAGAAACAGATATTTATGACCACTCTTTTCTGAAAATAGGTGCTCTTATCATAAGACAGTTAATAAATGGGTATGTTCCTTTGGTTTAAATATTTATCCAAGCTGATGTTTTTCCTGCAATGCTGGTACTTCTTTTCATAATCTGTCATGAGCCGTAGAAAGTCTGTATTTTTATTTCCACTTTCAAATCCTGCCCAGTTTTCTAACAGCTGCCAGGTGAAGCAGATTTTACCTCTCATGTCTGTACACATGCTTAAAAAGTGACATTCACAACCTGCATTGAGGCAAAGTACCAGGAGTGCTAGTTACCGATTTTCTGGAGGCACAAATAAAGTATCACGTGAGAGAGCCAAGAGTCTGACAAGCATGAAATTGTGAGTTCTGCATATATTTTTTTTTTGTTCTTTGCAGTGGCAATGACTGCAAATCTGATCCCATGCAGTAGATAATAAATGTGGAGGCATTTCATTCCAGTGCTTCTCTGCAGAATGGATGCTGGACCCAAATATTGAACCACAGGACAGCAGGATGCTAAGAAATGGCAGTGAGCTGTCCCACACAATGAATTTATTATACAGCCACCTGTAACTATGCTCTGGAAACATTCAGTCCCAGACCCTGTTTCTCTCACTTGTACAACAGCTGCTGAAGACACAGAAGTCTTATTTATGTTCATAAATAGGTTTTTGGAATCTTTCTGTAATAAAACACTTTTTTGTTCCTGAAAAACACTTTTTTCACTGAGAAACAAGAAGGAAATGCCCAGCTCCAGAAACTCATTTCTCCTCTAGTAAGGAGTCAGAGTAATTTCTAAAAACCTGTTATTTATCTGCAAAATATTTTTACCATGTCTCAGTGTGACATGCTGTCCTGGGCCTACTTTATGTTGCTTGTATCCCCAATCGCCTGTTCTGTTTATGTTACATATCAAGTTCTGCACCTTTAAGACTGGCTCTGGGAGTGAAGGCAGGGAAGAAGAAGCTGCAGTTTGTGTTGAGAAAGAGCCCTCACTGCCCCACATCCTGCTCCTGAACTGTGATGTCTGCAGCACGGACAGACGGGGGACAGAGCTCTCTTCTGCTTTTAGTTAGTTTTTGGCTAGCTGAGGGAGAGAAGTTCCCTGGACTGTTTTTTTCCTTTTTCCTTGCATCTGTTCAAACCTGCTTAAATCATCAGAATAAGAGCCAGCAGCCAGAACAGCTAAGCCAAGGATATAAAGAAGATTGCACAGAGATCAAGCATTGTTTTCATTGTTGCCTTTCAAATGCATGAACCTTACATAGGTAAATGATGGTTCTTGGAAATCTGACAGTACTCCTAGGGAGCTGCTAAGCCTCATCTTCAAGACATTCGAGTTTATCTCAAGAAACATAAGTTTTTATGATGAGATATCTAGGCAGGACTTTAGGATTACAGCTGACATTTACAGTGATTATTATAGACACCAAACCTTCACTTTTCTTAACAGTTAAAAATCCACGGCTTTGGATTTCAATGCAATTTGCAGATTATTCTTTTCAGCTCCTTTATAAGGATCTTCTTCTGCTGGCCTATGCCACCTCTCTGCCCTGCTGCTCCGCAGCAAGCCAGATGGAGAAGAGTTTTGGAGAAGCTCTTTTCTGTCCTCACAACCTTCTTCCACAGCTTCTTGGTGCTGTCCTGAAAGGCCACTACATTTTCCCTCCTAAGGCAGCTGCCCCAGTAAAAAAACACTGTTCAGGTTGCAAAGAGGAGGAGTCACAGCACAAAGCTACTTCCAAGGTAGGCAACTCTGCTGAGCCCTGGCTGAGAGGCTACACCTATGCTACAAGGTGCAGCAACAAGGGCACAAACCTTGAGCCCTCCTCCCTTTAGGGCATGCTAAACCAGAATGTCCAGGACGGTCAGTGCTTCAGATATCAATCAGTCATCTGCCTTTCATGTTTGGCAGTCACTTGCCTGCCTTTTAAACTGTAGGCATATATATTTTCCCAGAGGTGTTTTTGTGTTGTTTTGTTTTGGTTTTTTTCCCCCAAGTTTGAAAGTTGCTCGGAAATGGCAGCAGGAAATCCTTACGGTCTGATCTTTGTCATGAGAATAATTTCCACTTTATTAGGTACAAATTTATTTATGTAACTACTGAAAGTAAAACAGAATGGAGGAAGGGGTGGAGCATTTGCTGCTATCACTTGTGCAAACCTTATCCTGTCAACAGCTTCTGTGTCATGTCGACTTGCTGATCAGCACTCCGAGACTTGTGAGTATTTCACAACTTTTGACAGCCTGTTGGTTTTCTTTTTTTCTTCATTTTATTAAAAAAATTAAGGAACATAGAGCTTAGCTTCAAATTATTAAATGCTTTTAAAAAATGTCTAATAAGATTTCTTATAAAAAACATAGTTTAAGTATTGTATTTAACCTTGCAATTGGCACCTGTTTCTCTGTCTCTGTGTTAGAGAAATCAGCAAATAGACAAAACTGGTGCTAGCCCATGAAAAATTTGTCATTGTTTGCTAACAAATTCACTCAGCAAAAATGAGGAGAAAAAAAAGCTACTCCTCAGAGCCTGGTTAACATACGAAGGTCAGAGGCAAAAAACTGGGAGAAAAGTTATTTAATTCTTAGTGTATACAGTCAAAAGAGCACTAAATACAGGCAGAGTTCAGAAAATCTGCAGTCAGTGGAATCGTACTGAAAACAGTGACAGAGCTTCTGTAGCTGATAGCAGTGTAGGGAGGGTTTCATCAGTAGTAAACAAGAGAGAACATATGCACTGCTGAGTCTTTTTAAAAATAACATTTTCTACCTAGTCATAGAATCCTACATTCATTTAGGTTGGAAAAGAGGGAAAAGATGCGGGAGACAGAAACTTCTTATTGTCAAAACCTGCAAAATTATATCTGTATAAGTCTAATAGGAAATTCTCCTTCCTGTGCACAAACACTATCTTGCCGTTCCTTCTGTGTAAAGAAGATATTTTTAGGCAGCTTACTTTTAAGAGAGTCTTATACTGAGGAACAAATTCCTGATTATAATTGTCACAGCATGTTTGACTATACTTTCCAAGTAGTACATAGTGCAGTGCTTCCTTTGTCTCTCACATTGTTTACTGTTTACAGTTACAATTTGGCATGTACCATGTAAATGGAAAGGTATCACTTGGTTACATATATATCTTGGAAGGAGATAATGATAGATCAATGTAGTCTAAACAAACAATATTTATAGCTCAATAAATTTGGGAGTCTACTGGGCTGTTCTAAGCTTAGAGTACGAGTTAGTAGCTGTGCTCTGCTCTGCACCTACACCAGAGGGCAGCAGTGGGCAACCCCTGGTACCAGCGCTCCGGGAATTGGGAAGTCCGGGAATGTGAGAGACACAGACTGCATGAACTACATCCTGTGCCAGAGCTCTGGGACACAAGGATATCCAGGGGTGTGAGAGAGACAAACTGCTGGAATTGCACCCTGAGACAAGCCCTGCAAGGCACAGGGTCCTGGTCCTCTCTCTGCCTGGCGGAGCACAGTGACTTAAGGGATGAAGGAATGTTGACAGGCTCCTGCACATCTTACCTGTGACTGTCCCGGCACCCCAGTGACTTAGCATATGAGTGAGAGGCTCTGCAATTGGAATGGAACAATAACAAGGAGGATGGTCCATCTGGCTTTGGAGGTGTCACTAAAGTTACTTCAGCATGTACCCTGTGTCAAAATTGCTTCCATAAAGAAAAAAAGATAGGTTACTGTCATAGTAGATCCTTTCTGAAGGGAACAGAAAGCCCCATATGCAGACCAGAAAGTCTTCTTCAGGAAGTCTGCATCCTTCCTGGGGCCTGGGTTAAAGATGTGAAGTCAAAGTGTCCTGTGGCACAACCCTCTGGTTATTATCTATTTTCTGTTTTTTTAGGTAGGCAGAGATGAAGTTGCAACAAGAAGTTCAGGTGCAATTAAAAGACTCCAGGGCCTTGGGATGACTGTTAAGGGATCAGGAGCACAACTGTTGCTCTCCTCTGTCCATCCAGTTGCAGGGAAGGAATGGTACAATCCAGCACACCAATACCTGTCTCCAATCCAGGTGTCACCCACAGAATTTAGGGATTTTGATCATGATTTGGCCTACTCAACACCAGACATGCTGTCAATGGATGGGGTACACCTGTCCCAAAGGAGGAAAAGGATCTTTGCACAGAAGTTAGCAGGGCTTATCAAAACAACTTGAAACTTAAATAGGGGGAAGGGGTAAAACCAGGTTCACTAGAGCCAAACTTGAAGGTAGCCCACCAGTTTTTGAGTGACTGTGCTAGCAAGCTCCTTCTGTCTGCCACTGGAGATAGGGGATGGAGATCCATATGGCAACAAAGACACAAGGGTCAGTGATGTTTCAGAAACATGGAAGCACCTGAGAATGGTTACGTAGGAATTAGAGCTTCTCTCCCCAAGGAAGTGGTGGAATCAACAGCTCAGCTGAAGTGCCTCTACACCAACACACACAACAGGAGCAAACAGGAAGACAATTAGGAGGGCCAAAGCCCAACTGCAGCTTTATTTGGCTACTGCCTTAAAAGACACAAAATATATTTCTGTGAATACATCAGCAACAGGACCAGGCCTGTCAGCCTGACTGCTGTTGGGGAAGGTCACAGGGCACATCATCTTGAGTGCTATCCAGTAGCAAGTACAGGAAAACCAGAAGATCAGGCCCAGTCAGCAAGGGCATAAGGCAAGTCCTGCTTGTCTTATCTAATTCTCCTCACAATAATCTTCTGGAGAAACTGGATGCCCATGAATTGGACTGGTATACTCCTTGCTGGGTGAAAAACTGGCTGGTTACCCAAGCTCAGAGTGGTGGTGAATGGAATTAAATACAGCTGGCAGCCAGTCACCAGTGGTGCTCTCCAGGGCTCAGCCCTGGGGCTAGACCTGTTCAGTATCTTTATCAACAATCTGGATGAAGGTGTCAAGTACACCCTCAGCCAGATTGCAGATTACAAGTTGGGTTGGAGTGCTGACCTCCTGAAGGGAGGAAGGCTTTGCAGAGATCTGTACAGGCTAGATTGAGGGACCGAGGACAACTGTTTGAATTCCAACAAGGCCAGATGCCGAAGTTCAACCCCATGCAACACTACAGACTTGGGGCAGAGTGGCTGGAAAGCTACCTGATGTAAAAGGACCTGGGGGTGCTGGTTGACGGCAGCTGAGCATGAGCCAGCTGTGCCTCAGTGGCCAAGGAGCCCAGTGGCATCCTGGCTTGTAACAGGAATAGTGTGGCCAGCAGGAGCAGGACTGTGCCCCTGTATTCAGCACTGGTGAGGCCACACCTCGAGTGCTGTGTCCAGGTCTGGGCCCCTCATTGCTAAAAAGACACTGAGGTACGTAAGCGTGTCCAGAGAAGGGTAATGGAGCTAGGGAAGAGTCTGAAGCACAAGTCCCATAAGGAGCAGCTGAGGGAGCTGGGGATGTTTAGTCTGGAGAAAAGGAGGCTTGGGTGTGACCCTGTCACTCTCTACAGATCCCTGAAATGAGGTTGTAGCCAGGTCGAGACTGATTTTTTTTCCCCAAGTAACAAGTGATAAGACAAGATGTAATAGCCTGAAGTTGTGCCAGGGAAGGTTCAGACTGCATAATACAAAAGGTTTCTTCATTAAAGAGTGCTCAAGCATTGTAACAAGCTGTCCGGGGAAGTAGTAGAGCTACCAACACTGAAGACCTTTAAAGGACACACAGGTGTGGTGCTCAGGTTGATGGCTGGACTCAAAGATATGAAGGGCTTTTCCAACCTAAACAATTTTATGATGTCATTCTGACTGCATGATGTCTTGCTGTCATTATGAACGTTTGAATTCTCTGGGAAAAATATGATTATGGTCAGATCCATTTAAGGCTGCCTAAGAGTTCACTGAAAATAGAGAGGGGTCACAGGGGACAGAGGTACAGGCTGATCTGAAGTAGTTGGGAAGTATGGATAATACAATGCTAGATTGTTTCTTATGAGTGAAAAGTTCATCCTCAGCTTGCATGTCTTTCATGCCATGGACCACTGTCCATTGATACATTTGACACAAACCTGCCAGTGTCAGGTTCAGGGTTCTGTTAGAGCAATGTTTCTTTCCCTTTTCTGTTCTCAGAAACCAGCAGCAACCAGCACAGCAGCAAGAAAGGCAGTCTGGAACAGCTGACTGTAAGACATTCCATTCTATCCAAACAGTGTGGTTTGTGACCCAGAGTGGGTATCTGCTCTGCAGGCCAGCACAGTACTGCATACTCAGGATTTGGACAAAACTTGTTAGTCTGCACAAAAGTGCAGATTTTATTCCTCTTGCTTTTTTACATTACTCAGTCATGTTGCTTTCTACTTCAACATTGTGCCATCACTGGGAGCTAAAACCCAGGAGAGTGAATACTCATGCCTTCCTTGTTTTTTGAGGCTTTTCTGTGCACTTAAACACTCATAATGAAAGACAGTGACATTAAAGGTTACTTTAACTACAGGGCTGTAATTCACTGCCAATTCTCTATACCAAATTATAGTGCCAGGCAAAACCAGAACATCCCAAATGTGTCCATTTATTCCCTCTGCATGCTAAAATTTTTCTAATTTTCAAAAGTATTTTAAAAGTAATTGCTTAGGAATCCCTACTCTCAGTTACTTATTATCAGGTACTGATTTCTCAGAGAAATGTGTATGAAGCAAAATCTCAGTTTCTATAAGCAGTTCCCATTAAGTTCTCATATAGACAATGACATTTTCTCATTCAGCTGAGGTGCCTGATTCCCATTTTACAGGTTTTGATAGGACAGAACTTCGTTCCAAGAATGAATGCTGACATATTAACAAACAAGGTGATAGAGTTTGTCTCTTCAAAGAGCAAACTCTATTGGAAAGCCCTGTTAATAGCTCCTTATGGGAATGTATGCTCAGAGCTCCTTTTTGAGCCAATGTTTCAGATGATGGGAGAGAACCATGTTGGAGGCCCTTGATACCTACACAGGCAGATTATTCTTTTATAGAGGAATGGACTTCTGGTTTCATATCATTGATCCCATATCAATTTACCTTCTCACTGCCTCTGTGGTGAACAGAGAATGTTCCTGCACACGAAAGGTTCCTCTGCTCTTGCTGGTCCAGTGCTATTCCCAAGATAGGTCCTGTGATCCCGTGTTCAAAATGAACCTGAAGGCATGACCAGAAGAGAAAGACATTTCATCCAAGCGGTCTGTACTGTATCAGTGTAAACAGAGGTCCCAGTTGACTAGAGCT